TACAAAAGAATGTAGATTGGAATGTCTTCACCCACTGCTTGTAACCGTATCTAATGCACAGCCTTTTTTTTATTTGCTGCTAGCGGCCCGTGTGTAATGTCGATCTGAGGTGTTAGAGTAGCAAACAGGCAGCGGGATGGAGATAAGGAAGAATTAGGTTGTATTTAATCTAGTGGTTGCCGCCCAATATTAGGCATAGCATAGTTGCACAAACACCCGGCCAATGGGCCGGACTCCGGTTACTGCCAAGTAAAGAGAGCCAGCCTGGCTCCGTCACGTTGGCGTACGTTCGTCGGCTCATGGACCGGAACAGGCAAACGCTTCTTGACGACTGGTGGGAAGAAGCATGTCCACCTAGATATCGTAATCTGGGTCTACTCATGCGACGACGCAAGCCACAGGAGCAGGCACTTTCTCGGCGGTTACTCCGTGAACTGATCTCAGCCCGAACGGGACACGGAAACTTCGCTGCATGTCACCGCCGTTTCAACAACTTCACCGCTTCCATGGAGTGTGCGTGTGGAGGGGAAACATCACCTCTCCACTTCATTCACTGTCGACTGCACGAACGTCAGACGCGTCGACTCCGAGGGACAATGTCACATCACGACTTTGTCCAAAAGCTTCTCGGGCCTAAGTGCCTTGAGGATTTTACAAAATTTGCGCAGGAAACCGGCTGCTTCGGCGACTCACCTGCAAGTCCGTCACCAGCTCTCAGCGGAGACAACATTAACTAGGTCATAGCACGAAGCATGACAGGAAGGAAAACGAGACGAGGAGTGTCGCTTTCCCACCTTGAATTGGAGTATTGGATTTGGAGTTTTGGTTATGGGAGTCTGTGGGAGCATTTATATTCTTTCTTATAACTAGCTACTGGTTGTGTAGTGGGTCACGCAGTGAGACCCAGTCGGGCATATGGGAAGCATGATCTTGGCCGTATACACCAGTCCTTGACTCCTAGGAGATATAGAGCATAGCTTAGGACCTAAAATTTATAAAAAAAGAATGGGCCGGACTAGAATCATAAAACGCTGTATACTGGCTGACTCCACAACTATAGTGTTCGGATTAGGTCCTGGTCAACGATGTCTAGCCAAATTGTGCTGTGTTGCAGGCTACTGTTCCAATTATTCATGGGGTCATCATCAGGGTTATGAGTAGTTTCGGTTTTGGTGTGGATTGTTAGATTGATACCTAAGCGTGTCGCATAGTAGTCAGACATGCGACTCGAGTAGCATATGCACGGTAGACCTCAAACCCAAAATGATGATACGAATCAGGCTTTACATGCTACGTCCTGTATGGCTAGCATGGTTGGAATATGGGGAATTTACCTGTAGATAGATAAAGACGTTGTATCCCTCTGATAGTTGGGACAAGTCTTCTACAATATTATATCGGAATCAATACTAGCCTCTCATTAAGCAATCTCATGAATTATTTCCAATGTCTGTGATAACAGACATACATCTACAATGTCGACAACAAACTTTAATGTCGATAATATAGGCTATATAGAATGCAATCCTGACATTAGGGCCTGCTTAGTCACACGCCTGTAAAATATATTTCTCTTTCTCCGCACTGTGGTTGTTCTTTTGATGTGGTGTTTCTATGGTACTACCTGAGTCATAGACATTCAAGCACATTGAGCTCCTCTCTGGCCCAGGCCACACCTTAGACAGTGCTCCTATTCTCATTTGTTACTCGTAAGATTATTGATATGTTGCCCGTGATGAATAGCTGTTCAGCTCAGTATTTACCCGTAGAATTCGCCCAACTCCTCAGTAGAACCCTCTAACCAAAAAAAGAAAAAAAAGTAGCAATGGGAACTGCGTGTTCGGGAAAAAGTCTCAAAAACTCTGCAGACCCAGCCAGGCGAGACCTAGACACCGGTACCAAAAGAGGTGCGCATATTTAACTACATCTCCCTTCTTTGTAACATTCGAGGCCGACTTGATCTAATCTACCATCTCCGTATCGGGTGCTGGGTACGCTCCGAAAACTCAATGGATGACCCCTCCCCCATAATCAAGAGTTGTTGATGAGTAGGGCTCTTACCATGCCATCTAATCTGATTAAGGGTAACTTCATAATAATAGTGATATGGGAGCTGTGGTTAAGGTTGAAGACCATATAGACCACGGAGGCGATTGGAAATCCTCATTGAAGTGAGGACAGTGTTACTCAATCTTGCCTCTGCAGAATTTACAGTGAGAGCTGGAGGTTCGTATGGGACACCACCGACAGGTGTTGAGAATAGTCCTCATATATGATGCTGTTATTGTTGGTTCTCCAAAACCTAGGTAAAGAACCCTAGTGATCTAATTGTAATTACAAATTGAGCTAATAACGCTTGCTGAGATTAATGTGCACTAGAGGATTGTTGTAACCTATTTTCGAATAAAAGATTCGTGTTTGTTCATGCCGCATAACACTTGCAATTTGATATGTTCCTCGGATCAAACAATTTTGTTCTGATCGTACCATAGGATAATATAAACGTTTGTTAACACACTACGTATATCCAAACTATTAGAGTCCGCAACATTCGATAATCCTTCGACTCGAAGCGTGACTCACCTAATACAGCCTCTATACATCTATGGTTGGTGATATTTTCCATGATGTAGCTCCTTCATCCATTGTTCTAGTTTAACGTCCTATGCAGTATCTATTTACAGAACCATGAAGACGGTAAGCTGCTTTGGTCAGGGAAAAAGCTTTCAACAAACAAAACCCGATGTCCTGCCACTTTGAACCGACCCGGCTTTATGCTGAGGACGTTCCTTTCAACCGCAATTATGTAAACTTTCCTCGAAATTCATTAACTCCCCCTTCAATTAGTCAATCGTTATGAGAAATTAAAAAGAGAAGGCACCTCCTCACTCGGCGCTGGTCTTCGAAGTGTTCGAAGAGTTGGCCCCGATGGTGGTGCTGCCGGGGCTTCGACTACCTTACGCGGTCGTCCTGGCCCTCTTTTGAGTCCTTCAGCCTTTTTACTGGTGACCAAAGTGAATCCTTGGTCGTCGGTCGTTCCGACTGTTCGTGTTGGCGCCATGGTAGGTTTTTCATTCCATATTTCTGCCGTCCTCGATAACAGCTCCATCCGAGCCTTCTCCACACTATCCTTGTAAACCTGGTAGGTCCGACACGCTGCTTTCTGCCATGAACGATGTTCCTTGCCGCAGTTGGCACAAGAAACCCTTTTCCTCGGACAGTCCCGAGTTTGGTGAGAGCCAGCGCACTCACCGCACCTGGCTGCCTTTCCACACGACGCCTGAGTGTGTCCCCATTGGCTGCAGTTGTAAGACTGCTTTGGCTGAGCCCGTAGCGACCACACCTGCGTGGTGAAGAGCATGGCGTTAATAACAAGACCCTGTCGAACTACGTCCGTTTGTATTGCCTCCGATGGGAGGCTGACCACAATTGAACCTCGATTACGACCGTTTTTCTTTGATCACTGATGCTACTTTCCATCATGTAGCCATCGTATTCTATTGATTACCAGGCCTGGAATACGAACCTTCGTCGCCGTCTCAATCTCCCTGATGATGGCGTAGTTGTTGGCATCTCTGCCACCCCCAATTCTTGTCCGCAGTGGGACTCTGGAAACCTCAACAGGAAAGTCTTGCCGGAAAATTTTATAATCCGTTGGTTGTCGCATGTTAAGCGCCGCGTCTCTCTGGGACGCCGACTGAACAAACACCTCGGTGTCGTTGCTTCGCATCTGTCGAATTGCATATGCGCCTTGAATATGTTGCTGTGCCTTTGAGAGCAGCTCTTGTAGCTGCAAGTTTTGTGCGCCATCGATTCTTATTCTAACCGCTATCTTCGTCATTTGCGGAGCCACGACCGACGCGTAGCTCCTTGGTGTCGGCGCGCCCGAAACCACTGCTGGTGCAGCTTTTCGAGCGGGATCCGCGAGGCTCTTTTTGACAACCTCCTCAAGCGCCATCATCCTCTCCTCGATGGGAGACTTCTTCTGGGTCATTTCCTTCCAGGCCCTTTTGTGTGCGTTGAAGGCCTTCACGGCCTCGTTCACATCCTCCATTGAGGGTAAGTCCTCCTCGTGATGTAGCTCCTTAAAAGTCGTTTTGTAATAAAAAATACGTAGAAATATGAACCTCAGCTAACCTAGCACTGGCACGAGGTAAAAATTTATCGAAAAGAAAATAATTATTCAAATGTTCTAACAAGTTATTCTGATCTTAACGATGAGATTATACAGAAAATTCTATTGATTTAACTACCAAAGTCATTATGAGTATATTTTTGTCTACTTGATGCCAACAATATGGCCTGCTTTCTGGCCCTAGATTTTTTAACTTCTCGTATAATTTTACTTTAGTTCTTCAAGTCCTTCGGTTATTTGTCTTTGTTAAATCTTTTTATGAATTAAAATTACGAAGCGCGCGATTTCTGCGATGCAACCGTTTTGGTGATGTTTGTAGCAGACTAGACTTGCTTTATAGATCTTTTGCCCGAAAGGGATCTTATATTTAAACCAATCAAGCCTTTATCTGATTATTATTATTGAGAGGGTCCAAGGACGAAGAATTGTCTTCATGAAGTCGTCTGGAATTCTATCAGATTTTCTGATGGCAAATATGGATCCTTAAACAGAAAATAGTGCACCGTTGCTACACTCGGAGAAAAAGCGGGGTTTAACTGTTGTATCCAGCTCACGGGAGCAGATATGCTTGGACAAAAGCAGCTAGTTGTGGAAACCACCAATAGACACCGAGTCATATTAGCTGAACAACTTAATTCTTAAACCATATCACATAAGTGATAAACTTATAATCGTTGAATCATACATAATTTTAGCCAAGAGTTCAAACTTGTAATATCGACCTATTATAGAGTAAATATCTATAAGAATCCCTCAACTCCCACAGCGCGCAGAATTTTAATTTTAGCTGGCTCTCCCTTATAATCAAGATGAAATACTTTCAAGCTGAAGTAAGATTAATTTATTTAGCTGGCAATTCCATGATTTATTTCACCATTATGTTTCCAAACGCCTCCTTCATATCTTTCTTTGTAGGAACTTCATGAACTTCAGGAACTGTGCTTGCACCAATTGCAAGCCTGTCTTCCATAAGTTTAATGAGAATGCTTGGAACACTATCATCTGTAGCTCTGATAGTAAGCCGAATCATCTATAGTCTGAGGTTAGAAAAAAAATCGCGTTTAACGAGGGATCGGCTCGCTTACTTGCGTGACATAATTTGGTTCTAACCTTAAAAGACAGCCAAATTTACCGCCCTCACCGGTATACAAAACACTTGCGCCAACAAAATTTTTCTTATTGGGATCAACTCCATCCAATATGCCCCATTTAAATCCCTCGACAATCTCCCGTATGAATGAATCATTCAATTCGCGGTCTCCATCTTTTCCACCACGTAAACCAAATATGCGTTGAGCTTCTCGAGGAGCACTTCCTATTTGCTTCCAGCGTTTGAAAAAATCCTCAGCAGAAAGTTCTGTTGGATCCATGAATTTATGAGCTGTGATGGGAAGTTTTAGTGTAAGGGCTTGTAGCGCTCCTGCAAGATAGCTGATGCGAATAGTGGGACTTTGAAGAGGGATGCGTTTCGCCTCAAACATGATGGTTTGCTGAGTTTGCGCTCCATTGTGAATAGTAGTTTCGGGAAGCCCTTTAATCTCCCAAGGCATTTTTTCTTTTTCCGGTGGATCTAGATAAATAGTTGTAGTAAATGATGTAAGAGAAGTTGGAGCCTTATTCAAGAAATAAATGATGATACAAGCCATTTGGCTGCGATATTCTGACCGAATACCAATTTGTATTTGACCATCTTCGTACAAGATACCTTCCATTTTAATAAGAAGCTTATTGTATCCAACTTCCCAACCAGGAGAAAGATGAGCCGCAGTGGCCATATTGGGCGCTGAGGTAAACCTTTTCTCTGGAGGCTCGGAATCTAGAATTTCCAACCCAATCAAGTCACTAGCTCCATTACTACAACCATCCTTGCCAAGTAAGATTCCCGGATTATCTTGAGAGGGTTGAGGTGCGGTATTCTTTCCAGAAACACGATTTAAATCTAAATTCTTCACGGCAAAATCTTTCTCATTCGTATTAGCGTCCTTTCCACCAACTACCCATGTTCTTTTGTCACCAGTAGTACCATGTTTTCGATGAAGACGAGAGAGAAGTGCTGATTGCCGCTCGGGGAAAGGCGGCATCTCGTCACAGACGGTACGCAGAAGATCATCAGTAGGAAAGCTTGCAAGGGCCAAATATTCGCAAGCGCGTTGTTGTAACTCTGAATCCAGAGTATAGCTGTAGGCTTTGAAGACGTACATGAGCTGAGGTTTTATTTCTGGGAAAAGATTAACAAACTTAATGAATGAGGAGAGGATTATGGCTTGTGAGCTTGATGCACATCCTTGTAGTTTGCCTTGGAGAGCGAGAAATTGTTCGATCGGGCTACAGCCAGGGTCCTCAGCTATCAAGTGACCAAACTCGCCCAGGATATAGCCGCCTATTTTTACCAATGTTTCATGACAGTGATCCGCCTTGACATACTGTAAAATGTTCTGAGCGGCATATACTTGAAGTTCTTCGTTATTCGTCACAATTTGGATGACGCGATGCCAAACTTCGTCACTGACGTGATCACCTGCCATAGAGATAAGTCGTAATGAAATATCGACATACCATTTGACGTCAGTAGCATATTTCTCTGTCAGAATAGCAATTTTAAGGACCATTTCTTCCCGTATAGCGAAATCCGCACTCTGTAAGTATTGTAATAAATCACCAACAATTTGTTGAGCGTTGGACTGGTCACACATACTATATAAGAGATCGAGGCCTTTTCGTCGAACACTAATATCTCTATCCTTTAATGATCCAATTATTATAGCTTGGTGTTGTTTTATTGGGTCCAGGGTCTCGGCTCGTGCTGCCAGATGGGTCATGGCTTCTAGACCAAGATATCTTACATTCGTCTCCCTTGACTGTATAAACTTTCCTAACCGGAGCGATATCTGCTCCATGAGCGCATGCTCAGTGTCAAGGTGAATAATCAAATTGATTGCTTCAAATAGAACAGCATTTTGCGCATTATTTTGTTGCACGTTCTTTGGCATGTCCAATGCTAAATTGAGGATTTTTTGTAATGACTCACGGACTAAATCTCGCACAAAATTATCTTCAGACGGAGGATAGTACTGTAACAATCTCAATAGCTTGACCTGTATCCATGGACATGGTACTCTATAGTATAGATAATCGGAGGCATACTCATTGTCTACGAGAATTCTTTTCAACCTAGAAGCGGCTTTAATGTAACAGCCTCTATACTGATCTGGTTGGTCTTGCGCAAGAGCCATAATAAGCGATGTGATAGATAATGCAACACCCATATCAGCGTCGTCCATAATAGAAATAATGCGTTCAGCCCATTGAGCCTGAACTATATCAGGATGCTTTCGATAGAGTCTGAGAAGCGTCAAAGCAGCTTTTTTTTTAACGAAAGACTTAGAAGTTCTGATTTTTGTTAGAATAGACATAATATATTATCCTTGATATCTACCCACGGTGAAATTAGAAGTCGGTGTACCTCGCCGCCCAGAGCTTCGCCCATCTCTCTACCACCCACATTTGCAATAGCATTTAATGCCAAACAGTTGAATAATTCGTTATGGTCTTCAAGATCCTTTCTGATGCTATTTACAACTAAATGCAATAGTTCGTGCTGTTCGTGTAGGAAAAGAGTCATCGCAAGATAACCAATCTGCTTTTCGGAGTGTTTATTTGCCGAGATGAGATTCACGGCCTCAAGATGTCCAAAATCGACGTTCCATCCCAAAATGTAGATGTAAAGAAGCTTGAAGCATCACGTAAGAACAGATCGATCCATTCACAGAATTAGTTTCTCATACCTTGCAAACATATTTTTTTTTATGATATCCACTGAGACTTCCATCTGGTATCGGAACTTAGTTAAACTGACAGGCAAAATAGTGAAGAGATATCATATCAACATACCTTTAAACTTTTGCCTGGGTTAAAAGGAGTTAAGAATCTGCGTATACTTTTTGGAGATTAATTACGCACCTAATATTGGCTAATTCTTTATTGATTCTTTTTTCTTCAAGCTCACGCGCCCTAGCATTCCTTATGTCCGCAATAAATTGAACAAGTCCCCGCATGTGAGAATTATTTCCTGTAGTCCCGCGACCCAAGAATCCTGATGCTGAAGAGTTCGCCATCACATAGACTTTTGCTGCCAGATCCTCTTAACATGCAGATCGATTATATTCGAGATTGGAGTAGACAAAATATTCGTTCTTTTTCGTACCCGGGATAGTGAGAATAACTTTTTGGAGACATTAATTTAGGGTTTGTCTGAGGTAAATATCAAGCTAATCCTCGAAACTTCTACCAATAATCAAGATATAGTATTCATAGTGGTCATTGTAATCGATTGTTTGGTAGTCGTTGACCGGGATCACAGCTAGGAAAGGATACTAAAGTCTCGGGGATTAATTGCCCTGCATTAGCCTGAGATTACTATGTACCTTATTAGACAGCCTCGCCGTATAGTGCCTTAAGGAGCGAACAATCGGTGGCCGACATGAGACCCGCTTTCCGATACTTACGTGCCCATCAATTAACGTCTCCAGCGCCACTGGAAGTATTCAATCGTCATGTCAAGTTTCTACAGAAAGAAAGAGCAGCAAAAAATATCAATCAAAGTCGCCAGGTGGACTACCTCAAAGACGAGGTAGCCACACGACTAACCGACAGACTATTTGTGAGTTTCTTAAAACCATTCTTACCTCATACCTGACCAGAAAAGGACGTGAAACGAGACTTCCCCCATGTTCTTGACTTGGGGGCCAACTCTTGTAACATAGCTAGAGCTCTCACTCTTCTACCTCATAGTTTCAAATCCAGAGAGGCTGCGGATCCTTTGAATTTCAGCAAAATATCACATCTAACAGCAGCGGAACTTTCCCGAGCTACTTTATATCGGGATGTTGATCTTCCCTTTAACAAGGAAATCAATCTTACTCGCGAGATTATTGACTATGAGAAGGATCTTCCCTATGAAAGTCATACATTCGACGCAGTTTTAAGTTCTCTAAGCATGCATTGGATTAATGATCTGCCATTTGTTCTCGGTCAGATAAATAGAGTGCTTAAACCTGATGCTCCATTTTTAGCCTCAATGTTTGGGGGAGATACACTATACGAGCTTCGAACTTCTCTACAACTCGCTGACATGGAAAGAAGGGGTGGTGTTTCACCACATGTATCCCCGCTTGCAGATGTGAAAGATATTGGAAGCTTGTTACAAAGGGCAGGATTCAAAATGTTGACTGTAGATTTTGATGATATAATCATAGACTTCCCGGATACTTTCTCCTTAATGCAAGACTTGCAAGCTATGGGGGAAAGTAATGCAACTCTTGCAAGAGAATTAAGGGCAATTAGAAGAGATGTTCTTCTAGCTAACGAAGGTATATATCGGGAATTATACGGGAATGAGGATGGGTCACTGCCCGCAACATTCCGAATGATCTACATGATTGGATGGAAAGAGGGTCCTAATCAAGCTCCGCCTTTGCCTCGTGGATCAGGGAATATAGATATGGCCAAGGCTTTAAGTAATGTCGCGAAATTGAAGTAGTTTATTTGAATAATAGGACTGTAGCAAAGTTTCATCAAATTTATACTTCACGCTTTACTCTCTCATTTGGATGACGAAATCCTTTCCAAATAGTATTTTCCTGGCTTTACTCACGACTCATGAATACTTTCAGTTTAGAGCCAAGCGTGACTTGCGTACAATCACTTTAAAATCAACAGGAAAGTGCAATAATCTTGGTTGAATTGATGTTTACTACATTGTAGAAGTATATGATCGTCTGAAACAGTCTATATCTTATACAATACTTGTATCCTATTTTATTGCGCGAATAGATCTCCAACACTATACTTCAGGACATGACCATCATCATCTATTGGCAAAAATTAAGCAATACAATATACACATTTACTATTAAGTTTAAAGCTATTTAGATAGTTTTAGCTGTCCTTCATAGTCATAGACTCAGTAGGTACATAAATAAAATTCTATTTTATTCTAACACGATATCATTGATGGATATTTATTTAGCTAAGCACTAACCCATTGAACTCAGCTTCCATAAATTCGGACGTGATCCTCGGCACTCATTGGAGGATATTAAACAAGTCAAAACTTATTTATCTCATTTTTTTATTATTCTATCTGAGTCTATTACTAATTCATTTAATTGTCCCTGCTGAGTCTATGACTATGAAGTAAATGCAGGTCCTCTCTGCCTAGAGGCAAGGGTACCTATGCCACTAGTGTATCCCCTTGTCGGTTGGTTATATACACGTGTACGCGTAAGCAATGGGGTTCTCTCTGATGTAGTGGTTCTTGTTCTATTTACTTGCGGGCGTGTCTTCCACATGGGCGACACGGCGAACCGCACTAAGTCATGTGACTACTGCCTACTCACAAAACAAACTCCCATACCTGCCAAGTGACCACAAACCTACTTCGGCTTTGAGGATTCCTCATTAATATTACAACACCCCTCCTTTGCCTCCCATACAGCTCCCCTCATACAGTGCCACCCCTCACAAGTCCTCATTCGATCATACACTAAGAGGAGCCCTTTGCCCTTCGTTATCTTCCCTCTCCAGCCAACGAAACGATGGCCATTTGCGGGTGTATGGTAGCCAGAAAAAAATCGCAAAACTCACTGGGTGCGGCGCTCTTCTTATACTGGCATTAGGACTACATCCGAAGACATAGTGATCCTTCTGAAGCGTTCGAAGAGGCCGGCCAGCTGAGCGCTGCAGACTTGTGGGTACCTCAGGAAATTCACACTTTGTCTTTCTAGCCTCCTTCCAACTCCCTCACGAAGATCGTGCTGAAATGTCAGAAAAGTCTTGACAGAGCGTGACTGCTGTATTGAAAACCCCTCGAAAATATCAGTCCCAGCATGGTCTCCAGAGACCTCTTCCCCCTCTCGCTCCACATCTCAGCCGTTGTTCTCCCTCAAATTGTTTGTCCTATTAGAGCAGCAGTCCCCCATAAACCAAGACCCAGGCTTTGTACTTTTCGACTTGATTTCCTCATTGTGGGCATGCGTAGAGTCGTAAATTTACAGTAGATGATGGCCGGTAATAAATGAGGCAAACTCCTGTTTGCAATTGGGGTGACGTCTTTATCGGTCGTTGAAGCGGGATGAATTTTGGTTAGAAAGCGGTTGAAGATTCAGAGGAAAATGGTGAGTGCTGTATGATTGATAAGTCGCCAAATGGAGATATGCATTTATCTGCTTTCGACTTCGATTCGGATGGGATTCCTCTTGACTATCCCAGATATTGGGAGCATACTAAGCGATTACACCGGCACCACAAGAAGGCGCTGAATTCGTCTTTGACGGCGTATCAAAATTTATTGTTATCGGCAATCCTGAATGCATCTAAGATAGTATTGACTCTCCTTTAATGTCCTAAGCTGACTAGAGACTTGAATTGAAATTCAGTTTGATTCAGCCTCTTTTTACACGGAACCTTCTACCCAAAAAAGTGCCTCATAGTCATGGACTCGGTAAGGACACAATTTCAGTTATATTTTACGCAAAAAAGGTAGCAACAAAGATTTCTTGCACGGGTAAATTCTCAAGTGTCCCGCAGTGCCAGTTAGGCGAAGCCTAGATACCGGAGCTGCGCAAGATGTGTATAATTATCTACATCTCCCTTTTTTGCATCAAAAGAGACCAACTTGATCCAATCCATTGCTATCGTATCGTAAGCGGATTAGATTAGATTAGATTTGTATTATAGTCCTAACTGAGTCAAAGACTATTGAGGACTCCTAGAATCTACAAATAAGATACTAGCTACATATTTAGAGTTCCCACTGTTCAACTTTACACTTTGCTCTCATGGACAGTGAGGGATAAGCCCTGGCTATCGTAAGCGGATAATGCCCCAGAAACTCATTGGATGGCTTCTTCTATTATACCAAGAATAGAATACTGAGTGTAAAAAAAAGGTGTGCATTGAAACCCAAATTTTTCATTTTTCCTGACTTGGCGCCTTGAGGCCCATGCAGGTTTTATCGGAAGATATTTGCTTTAAGTAGGATGACTCAATTTGACATTTAGAACACTCACACTCAGATATCATTTGCGGATACCACTCAATGTTAACCCTTACGGCGCATAACCTCTTCTGTGCATACCCACCACAAGGAAAATCGTGGAAAACCTGTAACTATCCGAGTGTGCTTTCATCATCCCACAAGTACAACATCACCGCGAGATAGTGTGGTGTGTAGGTCTGACTGGATTCGAGCCAGCGTTCTCCTGTCTCGAATGGGGTAAGTGTTCAAGCTACCCAGTATCTACTTGGGAGAACGGCCCGGATGGTGTACCACTGCACTATCCAACCCTCGCAATATACACGATAGGTAGAATAGTTTCTTTGAAGTTTGGAACGCCCACCCTTAGATTTTGTGTGCAGTTACCACTCGATGTTGACCCTTAAGCACGTAACGTCTCGTGGGAACCGAAATTGGGAAATTGTCATAAATCTTGAGATAATCCAGGCCTCCCTACGTAACTTCCCAATTTTAAAATTACCACTTGTAAATAAGCATGGTCGCTCTTGCTGGGCTTGATGATGATGTTGATGATATTTTTATCGTGACCGAGTACTACCTCAGAACTTAGAAGGCATGGCACGAGTTGTCCAGAACTATGTGGTTCTTCGCTACCCACATCATTAATTCGTGGAAACCTAGAAATACAAAGGACTAAAAAAATAAAACCACCGTTTCTAAGGTGCTAGTGCCCTGCACTACACCTTATTCCTAGTACCACACCGAACGGTCCCAAGAAGCATTACAATTGATCTTTACATCCCCTGTTCATGGTTAATCTTGCGGTAACATTTTGATGTAGTTAAAAAACGCCAGAATTTCTGCCATCCTTCTTGCCCTATCGCATTCTTGGTGATAGGTGATAAGTCATAGGTCATAGTTTCTTCGTTTCTGACCTCCATTTCTAGATAGTCGGGCGACACTCTGCAACATGCCATGGCCGCTTTTCTCGTCCGGATTTGCAAAGCATTTCTTCATTCAGGTGCTGAAATCGTCTGTGATCACTGACAAAGTCGCCACGCCCAGTCCTTGCGGCTATGATGAGGCTTCTGGTTGGTCAGTTTATGATCACAATGATTTCACGCTGGTGTCTCGTGGCTCCGACTAATTAACAATATAGTGTGTGTAAAGCTTGAGACCAAAAAATACGTGAATTGATTTTTATGTAATACAGGATCGCCAATTTATTTAATTATCCCCCCCGCACCGCGTGAGCCAATCCACAACGCACAATGTGCGCGGTCGGGTTTCCATCAATAGGGATCAACAAAGAGGCGGTGATGTCATATCTATGAATTTGATAGCCATCTTCCTGTATATTGTAGACTTGTGAGCTTACACAGAGCTTCACTGTAATGAGGGTTTGTGCTTAGGGATGAAGACGATATAGTCCTGGAAAGCAATTGGAAGTCCTTATCGAAGTGAGGATTTTGTGACTCAATCTCGACTCTACAGACTCTACCGTGAGAGCTGGAGGCTCGGAGGTGACACCACTGATAGGTGTTGGGAATAATCTCCCTGCTTTTAGATGTGTCAATGCCGATCTATCCCGACCTAACTTCAAACGGTCTACAACATGTACCACTGCACCATCGAACATTTCCAAGCCAGTCCACTATTTAGTCTAGGCCTGAAGTAAATCTTGCTATGTTATTTGCTAGCGCAACTAGCTAATTTAATTGAATGCTTTACATTGGGCTCATCTGGGATAGAGGTGAAACACTAACCACTATCTTAGTCTCTATCAAAAATCCAAGAAGTTGTGCGGGTGAGGATAGATTTAGAAGATAAAACCTCGACAAAATGCGCTTTTCATACTCTTACTCATACTTTGGATTCTTCTGGAGGTAGAGGGTAGTACACTCAGATCAGAAGTCATTAAAAAACCGACTAATATCTTGTGGGAACCGTTCTGATCAAGTATTATGAATTTATACCGCGAACAGCTATGGAAGCGGAACACAATCAAATATTTCAGATTTTCAGCAGCACAGGGCATTCCCTCGCCACGATTATGGTGGTGAGTATCTTTCCCTCATTACAGTACTAGCTGAATCATCCTTTACAGTTACAGCCCGAAACATAATTTAACATTGACGGTACTTGGGTATATAACTTTACCACTGCTCACTTACTTTTCCGGGCTCAGCTGCTGCTCCCCATTCACCAGCGCTTCCAGCGGCCCAGTCAGTCCCGTCGGCAGCTCCGTCCCATGAAATTCCAGCGACAGCTCCCGTGGTAGCTGTAGCGCCGGCGAAAGCAGCTGCGGGGCCAGTTGCTACTTCCCAATCTGCGTTTCCTCCTGCAAAACCAGTGTCAACAGCGGCGATTCCGGCTTCCTCTGCGCCAGGTATTTTGTCTTCAAGAGCATCTTTGTTTTCTTCTGCTTCTGGGTCACGGTAAAAGTATAAATCGACCATGACATCCCACTCAGTTTCACGGTTGGCGATTGAGCCCCTTAATCTTAGTACTTCACGAGCTAACATCCACCAAATTAGTCCTATAGAGTGACGTCCTTTGTTGTTGGTTGGGATTGCAACATCGACAAATTCAGTTGGGGAATCGGTATCGCACAGAGCTATGACTGGAATATTGACATATGATGCTTCCTTAATAGCTTGAGCGTCAGTACGAGGATCAGTCACGATGATTAGGCGTGGCTCTTTGAACGATCGTGTGATGTAATTTGTGAAATTACCGGGCGTAAACCGTCCAGCGATAGCAACAGCACCAGTATGAGCTGCGAATTTGAGTACAGCGCGTTGACCATAAGGACGAGCAGAAATGACACAGATATCGGCTGGGTTGTCAATGGCCGCGATAATACGAGCCGCGAGGACAACTTTTTCCCTGTTCACAAATATATTAATACTGACTTATGGGAATCAAAATTATATTGCACACACCAGGTTTTTCCAATATTAATAATATTTATTCCATCTGGTCGGGTTTTCCATAGATAGCTGTCCATGTGGACCTGATTGTAAAGGTTACTTCTGCAAATTCTAGTTTTTGGGTAAACCAATTAATAAAGAACGTACTTGTAAATTTTTCGAACCTAGGTGACATTGAGCTGCGAGAAGCATCTCAATGTCTTGCGAGGTTGCATTGAAGATAGAAGGGAAGCTTGAACTGGCCATTTTTAATCGTTATGTTGCCGAGAGTTCACTTCTACCAAGTTGGATGGTTGACAAAGGAGATGTTGGAGTCTGACACTGGGGGTATTTCAACAATTCCTTCATTGTGGGTAGAATTTTGCAGGTCCCCTGTATGCTTAAGTCACGTGTATTTAATCCAACGCTAATCCTGAAATGATAGAGACTCAGGCCTCTCGAGGCGACTAGATTTCATATGAAGAGCAATTAACGCGTCCCAGAGGCGTGCATCATGCCTCCACGAATACCCCCCGTGTTACATAACCTTACCTCAAATTGTAAGTCGAATTGGAAGCAAGTAGGTTTAAACAATTCATGTTAAATTAGTATGCAATCTCTCAGCTCCAAGAGCTTGTTACCCTATTCCTAGCATTCAAGTCGCTACAAAAACAACCATAGCTTCAAGAAGAAAACATCGTGATCCATATACATTAGCTCAGATCAAGCAAAGGAAAAATGCCAATATTTCTCGCCAAAAAGTACTTCAGGAGCAGAGGAAAGTCTCCATGGGGGATCCAGTACGTGGGATGAGCACGCCTTTTCTCGAATCACTTGACACCGTCGAGGGCTGTGCTACTGGTCAACTTAATAGCAAAGCCCCATATTTCAACCATTTCCTCACTCGGGAAGAGATTGAGGTTGCATATAAAAATTCCTACGATTTATCACTTCCCGACAAACCAGATACACAAGAAAGTATTGATCCAGAAATAGAGCGTGAAAGATTAGAATCACATAAGGCTCGACACGGCAAGGCTATTCAGGCCATAGAAAGGATTATTAGCCTGTCTAATGCTAGCTCGAAAGACAAGACAAGAACCAACATTATACGTTGCATAGAGAAGTTTGGAAGGCATAAAACTGATCAACATCTTAAGCCTCGTCCAGCTATTAACCCATTAGTACTTGGAAATGCTACTCTTCCTACAAAGACTCCAAGAGCGGGTCCGGACACAGGTAGCTCTGAAGTTCAAATTGCTATTTTAACCGCAAAGATTCGAGTTCTAGCCAACAAACTTGAAGAGCCAGGTGGGAAGAGGGATAAGATTAACAAGCGGAACTTACGAGTCATGGTTCATAAAAGACAAAAGCTGCTCAGATATCTACGCAAAAAGGAGCGCGGGGGAGAGAGATGGCAGCACCTAGTAAAGACACTCGGACTGACTGATGGGACATGGATGGGTGAGATAAGCTTGTAGAGTAAACACGTAAGAGGGGTTTGGACAATAGATGTGCAAAGTTTAGCGTACATTATGTGATGCGCAACAAAACTTGTTATGTGTGAGGATATTTTTCAAAGGCCAAAGCTGATCACTATCCCATTAATAAATGTTGTAATTGACTACTCAATGACGCTACTCTAGTATACAATGGCTATCAAAATATCGATTACTCAGTTCGTATTCCTCTTATCCTTGTAGTGCTATTCTAAAATGCACTGATATAGTTACCGATCCGATCTTTTTGATTTTGGGTGATGCATTCGGCTATCCAGGTTATGTTCCTAATTTCCTGTGATACGTTAGTTATGAATTCTCTTGAATCAGATTTAGATAAGCACCTGTTCGCGTAACTTAACCCAAGCGTAGATGATTGCAAATGTGAACTGCCGCGTAAAGGCACCCGCAGATATCTCCATCTCCTTTTGATAAAATAGATCCTCTAAGCTTTTTCCATCCGATCCAGTACTACCACCCATATTTCCAGCGCCTGAGCTATTCTGAATCATGCCAGCAGCCTCAAGAAATCCTTTATAATCAGAGACACCATCGATAGCTAACTTTACTCCGTCGATGTCATCAGCCCTGTACAGCATGTATGATCCTTCGGGATATAGGCGCCCAAAGCTTGGATAGAGCTTTCTTCGATCTGCTTTAGTCAATTCAGTGCCAAAGGAGTTTAGCGTGATGTTGATGGCTCGTCGGTCAGCTTCAAACTCCAGAATTTCTGACATTACTTCAGCTGTGGGTGTGCCAGCCATATCGGTATCTGTGTTTACAAAATTGTAGAAGTCCTCAAGGTAATTTTTATAAAGAGTATTCCGTACAATTTCAATATTTAGCTCATCCAAGTCTTGATGGCCTAAGCTGCCCTTGAAGTACGGCGCAAGTGGAGTTTCTACGAGTACACTGTTGTAGAGTTCCTCGATATTAGTGGCGATACAAAGTACAGGCATGGTTTCAAAATATCCTAAGGGATGACATCTTTCTAGTAGCTCCCGAGTGTCTCTTTCGTGTAGTGTACCAGTAATTAATAGTGCGACATTATCTATCATGTATCCATATGTCATGTAATCCATAAACTTTGCTAATGACCCCACTGCATTCGCTCGTACGTATCGGAATTCAGATATTAGTTTATCAGAAGCTTTGGCGGCGAGTGACGAAGTTGAAGGATTTGGCGGAAGTGATGCAAGAAAGTCCCCATAAACTGGTCCCAGCTGGAGCTTTAGGTCTAAATAGTTATTGAGATGATGTCCTCCTCATTAATTAAAAGACTGCTCACCGTCAATCGTTTCACATTGTGTTAAATTGGTATAGTTCTGACCCGTTAGGAGACCATTACGGTAGCCCCTAACAACACCCTCAATATAGCTGTTATGTATATTAGCAGATAGAATTTTCTGATCATTTAGCTTTACCCATTATTAACGTTAAAGAATAGGCCCTCCATCTCTCATTAGGTTGATGCACTTATACAAGGGGTTGCATAGTCTTGAAGGGTGCTCATAATAAAGAAAGGGCTCGCATCCCAGTAGTCACCTGATTAAAATAAACGCAGTAGGGCAAGTACCACAAATTTATCTAAAGCCATCTGGACTTTAATTGATAAACCGCGATCAGTCTACTAAATAAATTAGTTAAATGCTTTTTCAATCCCATCTATGATTTTTGTATTAAAAGATAGCAGAGCAATATCAGCCAAATTATTTATAAATACTTTCTGTTAAATTCAAACATACAGATCAGGCTTACTTATTCTCGATTCTTGAGATCTACTTGTTAACAAAATACTCGCAATCAGTATACATGTACAGTTGTGTATATTGCTTAGCCTTTCTCAAAAACTATCCAACACATTGAGTTTCTCTAATTCTGGCTTCACCTCAGAGTGTGACCCTACCTTCATTCTCTTCAAAATAAGATATCGGATACAATGCCCGTGAAGGACATCCATTCAGCTTAGTATTTACTCGTAGAATTCAGTCGCTTTCTTTGCGGAAGCTCAAAATAAAATAAAAACCAATGTGTCAATGGGAACGGCGTTGGCGGGAAGAACTCTCATAATACCTACAGCCACACCCTCGCAAGATGCGTAAATTCATCTACATCTTCCATCATGTGTCAAGAGAGGTAAGTTTGATTCAATCCTCTATAGCCATATCTTTTTTTTTGCATAGCATAGCCATAGTGGTTGCTGGGTACGCACCGGAAACTCATCAGATGACTTCTCCTTGACCAAGTAAGGAGTTTTGATTCATTTTATTGTCCTCTCTATTAAAATTTAACCCACTACTTAGTTCGTAGGCTTCTTGTTAGAGGGAAGGTCATGCAATCATGAAGGATAAATGGACGTTAATTCGACTTTTCTTCTGAACAAAGATGCCAGACTTCTTTTGGTGCAAATAGATAGCCCGTGCGGGATCTCCTATTAACAGCAGTAAACAACGCTAACACAGGGTATACGTAATCTCCGTTCGCCAAATATCAGTCGGTCGGGACTACCTGTTGTTGATCCTAGCAGGATTGACGAGGTGTATCTCAATACAGAAATAATAGAAAACTCAGCCTCAAGTAGTCTTGCGATGCAAATACGAAGTGAGCTTTGAAGACAAGCTAAAGATCGTTCCTTCGAAGCTATGAAAAACAATACTGGGCACATTAAGAGGATAACACAGTGGATCCTCAATAATGGTTAGATTGAACAATTCCAGACATGGAGAGCATAATGAGAGATTTCACCGGCACCACAGGAAGGCGAAGAATCCGTCTTTGCCGGCTTCAGCAGTTAGTTGGATTAATGCGCTCTACAATCTCGATGATTTTGGGGTCATTTTGTTCTTAATATATTTATTAATTATTAATTTAATTTATTGTCTAGTCTGAATCTATGACTATGTAGGACATTCAGATCCTCTCTGCCTACAGTCCAAGGATACATATACCAGTAGTATATCCCCTCCTATGCCTCCCATACAGCTCCCCTCATACAGTACCACCCCTCACAAGTCCTCATTCGATCATACACTAAGAGGAGCCCTTTGCCCTTCGTTATCTTCCCTCTCCAGCCAACGAAACGATGGCCATTTGCGGGTGTATGGTAGCCAGAAAAAAATCGCAAAACTCACTGGGTGCGGCGCTCTTCTTATACTGGCATTAGGACTACATCCGAAGACATAGTGATCCTTCTGAAGCGTTCGAAGAGGCCGGCCAGCTGAGCGCTGCAGACTTGTGGGTACCTCAGGAAATTCACACTTTGTCTTTCTAGCCTCCTTCCAACTCCCTCACGAAGATCGTGCTGAAATGTCAGAAAAGTCTTGACAGAGCGTGACTGCTGTATTGAAAACCCCTCGAAAATATCAGTCCCAGCATGGTCTCCAGAGACCTCTTCCCCCTCTCGCTCCACATCTCAGCCGTTGTTCTCCCTCAAATTGTTTGTCCTATTAGAGCAGCAGTCCCCCATAAACCAAGACCCAGGCTTTGTACTTTTCGACTTGATTTCCTCATTGTGGGCATGCGTAGAGTCGTAAATTTACAGTAGATGATGGCCGGTAATAAATGAGGCAAACTCCTGTTTGCAATTGGGGTGACGTCTTTATCGGTCGTTGAAGCGGGATGAATTTTGGTTAGAAAGCGGTTGAAGATTCAGAGGAAAATGGTGAGTGCTGTATGATTGATAAGTCGCCAAATGGAGATATGCATTTATCTGCTTTCGACTTCGATTCGGATGGGATTCCTCTTGACTATCCCAGATATTGGGAGCATACTAAGCGATTACACCAGCGCCACTGGAAGGTGAAGAATTCGTCTTTGCCGGCTGTTCTAAACATATTTTATATGTGGAATCTAGGTAAAATTTGAATTATGTCTTGGCATGATACAAGGGAACAAGGCCGAATATTCAACCTCTTGTAATTTTCTTGAAAATATATCAATTGTAGTTAGAGTAGAAGCATGAACATCTTTATCTGAGGTTACTTTAATTCATGATCGGGTACTGAGAACGGCCTTTCCAACACGTTCTCTACGATTAGTCCTAAATTCATCATTTGCCATGACTAGGTTTTATCAATAAGGGAATATTTCAATCATAGTCTCGTGGAGAGCCCTGTGCACAAGTGTTCACTTTCCATCCTCTGCAAGAAGGTTCGATGCTATGGTTGTTGGAAGATTTTCGGGTTGATTTCGTTAGGCGAATACTTACGATTGAGGGTAAGATAAAAGTCACGGTTCCCACTTGGGATGGTATTAGCTGATGCACTAACGGCATGATTGATAACTTGAACATCTTGACGTCTCCTCAAATTCATAATTATCAACAAGTGATATGCATCTTACGTCACCTACTCTGGTCATAAATTTATTGCCGAATAATCTGCCTCATCACCATTATCATCAATTGAACGCAGAACAATACGGCGGACGTTAAGACGGTAGAGATGTCTCGAGGCCTTAGGCTACACGGGATAGCCAAGCGCTCATTGAAGTTATGAAAGGCCGGGCTTATCATTCGGGTTTACTTGGCGTTGATTTCGAATCAGTCAACCATGATTGAGCCATTCGCTGGTTGGCGCAGTATATCTTCCAAGTATATCGGCCAAATACAATATGAGCTGCTTGGCAACCTATTTTACACAAAATGAAGTATTATTGGCTCCTGTATAGAGATACTTCGTAAAACTTTAGGCGGCAATTTGACGAACTAACATGTTATTTATACTTAGGCGCACTAAGATTTCCAAAGTTTTCATTTCGTCAGGATACTTAATTAAACGTATCACCTTTACTCATTAGCCTGCAATTCGTTGTCGGGCTCTTAGTGCGCTTGGCGATGAAAACGGGACTGTTGCCTTAGTACTCGAGGATTATACTCTCTCTTAGATAGATATGAATAACGTCGATTCCACCAACCTATCCAGCATACGTAAACTGTGTACAAATGATATCACCCTCACGAACCAATACATTTGATGGATTTATACTGTTGTAGGGTTGGATGGTGTAGTAGTACACCTTTCAGGCCGTTCTCCCGAGTAGATATTGGGTAGTTTTAACACCTACCCCATTCGAGAAAGGAGAAAGATGGTTCGAATGGAATAAAACCCACACATCACAATCTCTCGCGGTGATGTTGTACTTGTGGGATGATGAAAGCACACTCGGATGGCCACAGGGTTTTCACGTTTTTCTCTGTAGTGATTGTGCACGGAAGAGGTTATACGCCGTAAGGGTTGACTTCGCGTGGTATCTGCAAATGAAATCTGAGTGCTTTAAACGTCAAATTGAGTCGTCCTACTTACAGTACATATCTTCCGATAAAAATCTGCATAGGCTTCATGGCGCCAAATCAGGATTATCAATAATTTATTTATGTATACCGTTGTATTTTGAAATGCGAGTAACAAGTTTTGGAAGTTTGCCCGGCTAACTTAACCTATCAAGCGAAGTTGCTTTTGAGGTGGAAGCTATTTGTTAAATTTGAACAAATATATAGTAATCTTTGCGCGCGTTTTTCTCATTTGGACAAAGGCAGCGAAGATGAAGCCTTGAATAAATAACGCCATTTGACTAGCTATATATTTTATACGTTGATATGCATCATCAGTAGATCAATGAATTAGGATATATATCAGATCTGCGTTAAAAATATTTAATGTAATTAAGTTGAGATAAATTGATTCACTCGTAGAGGATTCCGAAATCTTCACATTACTGCACATTTATATTTCTAATTAGTTGAAAAGTGTTAGAAAGAGATGGCCGAAAGTTCGACCATTAATTTCCTCTAATTCCAGATAATATCCACCATTACGCCTTTGAAAGTCCAGTACGCCAATGCCCAGGATGTTTTACAGAGCCGACTGTCAAACTTAGTTCAGTGAAGAGACTTTTTCTTCTTTTTCTTTTCAGATGTTACATCTTGACCAGATTTTCTTTTTTTAGTCGGAGTTTCTTCACTGTGGGGAACCGTGGCAGCTTTATCCTTCTTCATTTCTTTTTTGCTCAACAAGATAGGTGTGCCGTCCGCATTGACTTTGACGCATCCTTTGGCTACCTTCTTCTTGTACTTTTTTAGAGAAAGGCCGACAGCTTCGGCTCGTCTAATATCCTGATCCTCAGAAGACTTAGAAGGAGTATCATTTACTTCTTTTTGTTGCCTAGTTATGTCAGCTATTTACTTGTAAATTTTTTCATTTTGGTTAACGTTGGTGCTTTTCAATATTTCAAGGCAGTACATATCTTCAAACGAAGGAAGAGCACGAAATAATAGGATCAAAGTGGAAATCTCATACCTTGCGCTTTCTATATTCGCATTCGTATCAGCTGCATCCCGCATTTCTTCATCTGAATCAGACTCGCCATTGAGTTCGACTTCTTCAATCAAGGGTTTAGGAGGCTCTGAGATATCAATTTTGGAGGATTTCTTTTTGATCTTATCATTCTTTTCTCCCTTCTTCTTTTTCTTCTCCGTACCTTGCTCTTGAAGACCAGGAGTTAAAGGTAAAGATGTCGAATCATTGCCTAGCAAGCCATCAGCGTCTGCATTATATTTCCGCGTCTCTTTTATCTCCCATTTTCCAGGAGTTATGCTGGATTTCCCAGCTGGTGTTGCATCACCATTCCTAGGGAGTAGGGGTTTCCCTTCTAATGCACGTAAATGGCGCTCAATCTTAATTCTCGATTTGACTCCTAGTGCTGACCGCTCTTCTTCGTCTACATCATCACCTTTTCCTTCGCCATGAGCGCTCCAGTCAGAGAGGGCGTCAACACGGATTCCGATGGCTGCCTTGGCTGCTAACATACGAGCAATTTTCCCTTTATTCTTTCCGGTGGCTTGCCCAACAAGAGAGGCGTGGTATATTAACCCATACTTAGGAGTATCGTGTTTTGTTTTCAGAGCACGGAACAAAGCCTTTTCGGCGCCAAGAATTTGTATAGTACTAGCAGGGCTTTTGGCCAAATTCATGAGTGACCCTGAGTGTGAAATAAGTCTGGCACCAACTAGCTCGCCGACCATTTCGGTAAGGTTAGGTGCAATTGCACACATTCGAGCGGTAAGGTAGCTCGATAATTGTTGACGATATGTAGTAAAGTCAACTACTTGCTCAGCGAGTAGTTGAATATTCTGAAGATCCTCTTCAGTGATTTCGGTACCCATACTAACTTCTGCTGCAGCTTTTATAGAAGTTTCTATTTCCTCAGGTAGGATCTCTGATAGGTCACTCTTAGAGCAATTCTGCCTCATTCCAGCCTTTAGAATAATCTTCGCATATGCAAGGTTATCATTGACAATCTTGCCCATTTCAGGGAAGTGCCATCCGTACCATTCCTTCACGCGCATCGCGTACGTGTTTAATTCTTTGTCAAGATCATCAAGGAGTGAAATGGCTTGTACAATCATGGTATCTACCTTGTCTGGAGAGAATCGAAGTTTATGACGCGATAGAGAATGAGAGAGACCAAGAGACATCGTTGCAATGCTTTCCTCTGCTAGTCCTGGGATCAATGATGGAAGATGGTCGCGAATGGCGCGGAAAATATCATTGGAACTTGAATCGGAAACTGTTGTCAACGAGAGCCCTGGAATCTTGTTGATTGCGACACCCAATTTCGGATCAGATACAGCGAGTGACGCCTTGCTTTCAGCTTGAAGTGATTGAAGTAGGTTGCTGAGAATTGGTGGCACTTTACCATCTATCAGGGCAGAAACTTCCTCGAGAGCTATTGCAGCACTGTCATATTTGACGAACTTTTTAAGTTTAAGTCTAATAGATTAATCTGTAAGTATCCCTGAGGGTTGTATTAAAGTTGTAGTTATACTCACAGCTCATTAACACTTTCGGCCGTTTCAAGCTGGTCGGAAAAGTCCGTCTTTTTCAATAATTTGGTGCCTTTGCTTGCTTTTAGTAAGGCATATCCAGCAGAAGTTTCAGTTAACAAGAAGAGCGGTGCCATCTTAAAACAATGGCTTTCTTTCCCTCTTGTTAAGGCGTTAATTGATGTAAGCAATTGATGTGGCTTGTTTTGGTCTAAGCGGACGGACTTCAAATTTTCAAACCCTGGATTTGTCAGCTTTGGTTGGATTAAATAAGCGAGGACTGACAATTCTTTTTGATCCGATCATTAGCTCATAGATCTTCTCTGAGCAGCCTCATCACATTGCGGGCGTGCGTTTTACAAGACTTAAGATGAGCTTTGTAAACAAAAAATTGTCATCTGTAGGCTTGAAGCACTTCACGTGCATAGTCTACATCAAGACTAAAGGGGCATAAGCAAGCAGAAGTCTATCATTGATAAAGCTTTGCTACGACAGGTAACGTTTGAAAAAATTGCTCCAAATCCACTCATTGCCAACACCTATCTCCACAATGAATCAACATCAATTGGTCGACTGCTGTATCTCCAATTGGCAAAACCCTTTATTCCTGGTGTTAATCCTTCCCCGATCATCGCCAAATCCTTCTCCCTCGATATGCTATTTGTTCAAGCTTGTAAGGACCCAGCAATTATTCAGGAAGTCTTGTCACGCCAAGCCACAATTTTTCTCTAACGGACATAAAATTAACGAAAACTAGAATGTATTCTCATTCTTCAAATTTGCTTATGGACCACGTCCATAATTTTATTATAAAAACTTCACGAATAAAAATAGGGCATGACCCTGAGCGTCAATCGGAAAATATTAAAAGAAAAAATATATTTTTGATTAATTCTCAATACAGTTCCTACATACAGGTTCATGTAGCCGTAAGGCCGCACTATTTGGGGAAAAAAACTCTAAGGTAAAACCTACTGTAACTCCGATTGTGCATACCCTGCCTCCATGTGGATGGCATCCATTTACTTTATCATTTTTAATATGTTCATTATTTTCAATACCTCCTCCATCGAGGAAAAGTGGTCTCAGTTTAAGTCCAGAGTTTACACGAGTTCTTATCCCTCTTGAGCAATATTTTTTTGATTTTGATTTTATTGACCTGATTTGGTGCCCTATGGGCCCATGCAGGTGTCTACAAAGCTAACTATATATATATATATATATATTTTTTTTTTTTTATAAAATCGTTTAACGTGTATTCAGCGATCTAGCTATGACACATGATCGGTGCTATGTACACATGTGGGATGACTCTTTTGACGTTAGAGACACTCATTCTCTGGATTTCATTCGCAAATACCACTATGAGGTATGCTTGCTTACGCAAACAGTCGACCCTCCTCCGTAAGTACCCAACAAAGGGACGTTTCAAACCATTTGCTTCTCCAAGCATACCTTCGTCATCCATGCATACCAGCGCCGCGAGAGATATGATTGTATTTTTCTGGATTTGAACCGAAAATCTACTGGCTCGAGTGGGATATGTGTTCAAGCTATCGAGACTTTACTTGGTAAACCGGCCAGGACGATGTACCACCGCACCATCCAACCATAGTAGTGTCTATAGTGTCGCCTGCACTCTCGCAACCAAAGTCTTGGCACGCACAAAGCTCAATATGTAAAAACTCCTTGCCTAAATTCGAAATTTCGTGCCCGTCGAGGATGTATCCATCTTCTGCATCATCTTATCAACTTGTCCTGATCCCTCTCACGTCCATCCTAAAGAACGGTCTCCCAGATTTGTGCGCCACGCTTTGCTTCCTCCATCGGGAGTAAATATCGGCGTAGGCGTGTATCTGGCGATCAGCTGAGGACAGAGAAAGTCGGCGAGAGGTATGGTCATTGGGATGAGGATGTACTAGGTCGTACTTGTAGACTTGATGAGGCTTAGGTAGGAATCGATTTCGTTGGGAGTGAAAGATTGATATGGTGGAGTATTTCGAATCATTGCCTCGTGGGCCAACTTGTTCGGTATTGCGAAGTTTGACTGAACTTGGCTCTGGGAGAATATTTCACTCCCAGGTTCGTAGAGGACACCGCGTACAGGTGTTCAGTCTTGCCCTCCAAGCCCTCGCTTCACTGCGAGGCAGAATCAGAGAGTGCCTTCTATTATATAATCGCCATATTTAACGTCAATATCAACAACTACCTCCATGTTTAATTATATGCACTGGAGACAAGGCTTGTGCGAGACACTTTGAAAAAAAAACCAATTCATCTCTGCGCAAGGGGGACAAACCCTCAATACTTGTCAGCGCCGTTCCTTATGAATCTCTAGCTCTTACTGTAGAGTGTAGGGCTAAGATGGAGCAACACCTTCCTCATTTACATTAGGAAAATCAACTAGTCTTGCGATTTGTATCGTTTTCATCCCTCAGCACAATCCTCTAGCATGATTAACCTAGAGCTGAAAACGATCAGATCGGAAAGCAATGTTGAAGCCACTACAATTCGTCGTGGTTGGTATGTCTTGGCCAGGAAAAGGTTGGATGGTAGAGTAGTACATCATCCGGGTCTTTCTCCCAAGTTGCAATTGGGTAGCATGAACACCAACCCCAGATGAGACAGGATTAAGCTAGCTCAGGCCCAGCAAACAGACAAGACGGAAGAATTGATAAATGTTACAGGCTGTGGCCTCGTTTATCTGGAACCGGAGTTTATCCGGCTCCGAATAGGCGTTGTACCTATTTTGGGAAAAGCCTCGACCCTGCTTAGTAAAGTCTCACAAGTGACGCGTCGCGTAATGTTCATATTAGCCAAATCCTTTCGTAGCTTCGACTTTCCTCTCTAGATAGAAAATAAACTCATTTTTAACATACGATTGCGAGAAGCTAGCGTACCGTTCTTTTACATATTTTCTATCTCTTCTTTACACAACTAGTGCAAGTATTGGCTTATACCTCTCCTAGCTGTCCGGTTTTTAAATTGCATGAATACACGCTCTTATCAAGTTCCCTCTCCAGAACCATCTTTATCGGACAACGAATCAGTTACGACCCAAGATTTTTATTCGCTTTCCTCATCTGACGCATTCCCACTAATCGCTAAATCCGTTGAAGAAAATATGACGGATAATATGGACACAGATGCTCCTGACAATGGCAAGGGCAAGGGCAGGGCTAATCAATTCGTTTCACAGCAAACAACAAATGTCACGCTATCCCTGAATAGTGATCAGCTACAACGGCTATTGGCAATAATTGACACAAGTGACGTCAATCAGGGAAAGACTTTACGACCTAATCCACACACTGACAAGAAAAAAGCGTCAAGTTGGCCAGAATGGGACGGTTCTAGAGAGATGTACCCGACATACATAATTCAGCTTACAGCGAAAATTGAAGCAGACTGGGACCTGTTGGGAGGCCACAAAGCGGTGTGCATGGACATGATGAATACCATCCCCAAGAATCTCCGAAGTCGTGTCTCTCACTGGTACACAACAGGAGGACCAGACAACAATTGGGACTATGAACTCTACTTAGAACATTTTAATGACAATTTCGAAGACAAAACGTCAGTTCGGACTGCTAATGAGAAATTATCAAGGATGAGGCAAGGAAAACATCAGACTTTCGCCTCGTACTTAAACGATTTTGAGCACATGCTAACGCAAGCGAGAGGTATCAACTGGGAAGGCTATATGAAGATAAATGGCCTCAGTCTTGGATTAAACGAGAGTCTAACGAAGCTTTTGATGCCATGTACTCTCTCTGAGACTAACTATACTCTTTTTGTTCGACAGGTGCGAAATATGGCTAGTAAGCTCGAATCACAGGAGGATTATATACCTAAGCATGGCCCTAGACAAACAAAGACATGGTATATTAGCAGACTGGGTGTCGTCCCTCATAATCCTGGCTTCAATTACCAAGCACCAGCACATTCACCATCACAGGATAGAGCAACTACTGTGGACACGGATGGCGACACCCCAATGTCAGGGGTAAGTGGACTAAGCACTTGTCAACTTGCAGCAATAATAAATGCTGTCAACTCTAAAAACAGTGAAAAGAGCAAAGCTATCAGGAACAAGCCACCTGCTCCGTGGAAAACACCAGAAGAGTTTGCTGCCCTCCGTGCTGCGGGTAAATGCACTCGCTGTGAAGAGAAGGGTCACTACTTCAAGAAATGTCCTAATTTTACATGGGCCAAGAGACCTTCTGATATGAATGCGGTCTTCACTAAAATACCAAAGAATTCTAAGTCCAGATTGATAGAATCAGACGAGGATGAAGATGAATTTGGAAATAACGTTTCGGGAAACGAGTAAACCCTGGGCAAAGTCGGGCTCAGGGGGTGACTAAATCTTTGGTTGACAATTTAAGTGTAATTGTAAAGAATTTGGATAGCTCTCCGTTTTTATTAGAGATAATGCTCAATAAATGCTTTTATGTTGATGCTCTAATGGACACGGGATGTTTATGCTATGCTGCTTTCAGTCACTCGTTTGTCAAACGCCACAAGTTACCGCAAATATCTATTAAAACCAGGGAATTGAGACTCGCAAAAAAAGATTCCCAGCGGAAGGTCATAAATAAACTTACTTACGTAGACACAGACATAGATGGCAGGCGCGAAAAAATCTATGGGTACGTCATCGAGGATTTATCTTATGATATGATTTTAGGTGACCCATGGATGAGAGCCAATGCCGTGGTTTACGATGCTCGCCGACGCGCTATTCGTTTTGGTTCGAAAGGTGGTCTCATTGTGAAAGCTAAAGGGTGGGAAGATCGGATGAGCCAAAGCAGTAAAGCGAAGATAAATTATCTCAAAGTAAAATTAGGAAGTGCTCACCAGGTTCTTGGTTCCCAATTCGCGGCAATAGCTACGAGAGTACGTGGTAAAAAGGATCAAGAAACGAAATTGTTTGCAGCATCAATGTTCGATATAAATAAGGCTCTTGAGACTAAAAGAAAACAGACACCTGATGAAATTAAGGCTGGTTTACCACCAGAAGTTCGTGACAACGCTCAGTACTTTACCGAGGACGAGAATCATGAGCTACCACCGCACCGACCTGGCGTAGACACTAAGATCGAATTGATTAAGGATGAACAGGGCAGGGAAAAGG